GCCCTGCTGTAGAGAGCCTCTGGGACTAGTGGCCTGGGAAGTGGACTGGGGCAGGGAGCAGCGCCTTGAGAACTGCCTGCTGGTTTCATTTCTTTCTTTTTTTTGGTGGGGGGATCTTTTTGAGACAGGGTCTCCCTGTAGCCCTAGCTGGCCTGGATTCACTATGGAGACCAGGCTGGCCTCGAACTCACAGAGATCCGCCTGCCTCTGCCTCCCGAGTGCTGGGATTAAAGGCATGTGCCACCACGCCCGGCCCTAGTAACAATTATTTTAAAAGTTACATTGAATTTTATTCTAATTTTAAAGAAAAAAATTCCTTAATTATAATTCAAAAAGAAAGCCCAACTAACAGGTAAATACAGGAGTGGTTAGTGATGCACAAAGCCATGCACAGATACCTGGATTTGCTGGGGCTGCAGTGTCCTGGGTCTGAACCCTTTTCATCAGGTTCTTCTTGGTTTTTATTCTCCTTTTCTTCTCTTCCTTCCTCTTCCTCATCTTCAGGGATTTTATCATCTTCAACACAGATACCATAGTGATATTTACTTATTTATTTGTTAAAGATCATTACAAATCAGGCAGAAAAAAAAAAAAACAGCCTAATTCCTGACCAGCAATATCATGTACATTCTATCCTCAAGAGAAACAGGGGGATAAAACTAACTAGGAAGGCAGTAGCTGGGCACTTTCCTTCTGGTCATTTTACCTTTCCCTGGTCCTCATATTACTGCTGCCTGATCATTTCCACAGTGACATTTCCTCCCTTCCCTCAGTAAATCTCCCAAGCAATGCTGCTGATTAATCACTTCTCCAGTGAAGAAAAGATCAGAGTCATTGGTCAACTTGCATTATTCACTTCTAGGGTAAAACCTTGGTGAGAAGATACTTGTTTGCCTTAAATACAAATTCTGTGGTGAAGCTGGTTGTTTTCTCAACCCCGGAATACTAATACTTCCTTTTCTAGTCAGTGCTCCCAAACCAATCTATCATTTCAGGGAACCAAATTTCTAAGAGCCTTTACACTTTCAAAAGCCATAAACTCAAAATGAGGAACACCATTTGCTTGTTCCTATGCATCAGGCTTCCCTTCTATTTCCTTCCAAGCTCCGTCCTGGACACCTTGATTACACAGTTTGAGGCCAGCCCTATGAGAACCTGTCTCAAAACAAACCTGTAAAGGTTGTCATAGAAATGACCTGGTAGTCCAGGCCTAGAATCCCAGCACTCAGTGCCCAGCAGAGGAGTGGAGGGAGGAGATCGTGAGTTAAGTCCAACTTGTACTACAACAGCCATGCTGCTGATTAATTACTGCTGCTAATTAATTAGTGAGTTCCAGGCTAGCCTGGGCTAAACAAATAATGAGACCCTGTCTCAGAAGAAATGAACAAAAGCAAAAGCAATGATGACAATAAAACCAAGTAATAACAAAAAAAGAACTGGTTAGTCTGACACCTTTGGCCTTGGAGGAGCGCCCCTCCATTCCCCAGCTCACTACTTCCCCACCAGAGGGCAGCACTGAGAAGGGCCAACAGTTGGGCCCAGGGCAGAAGCTGCCTCAGCCAAGATAGTAGCTTCCCAACCTCCCACTGCCAGAGTCTGCCCTTATTTCCTGCCTCCCGCTGCTGCCCACCACCTACTGCCCCTAGACCTGTTTCCTCACCCTTTGAGACTTGTTTTATGTCTCCTGCTGGCCCTCCTGCAGCTGGTATCTCTCCTGCAGTCTCTTCTGTGGGTGCGTCCATTGTTCTAGATGCTGGCTCCATCAGGCAATGGTCAGGTTCTTCGTCCAGGTCTGGTGGCTCCCCCAGCTCGGGAAATGTGGAAATAACCTCTGGGTGGTTTAGGCTCTCAGACTCATAGGCTGCAACCCTCACTGTTGACCTGGTGGGCCCCTGTGGTACCTGAACCTCACCTGAGAGGGCAGGTGGAGTGTCTGGTGGCTCGATCACTTCGTCATCACCGAAGGGCCGAATCAGGATGTGGTTGCTGTAGTTCATGCGACTGAGAGTGGTGTAGGCCAGATCCAGAAACATGAACCGGAATTCAGCCATTGGAAACCGATAGGCATCCAACATGCCTTGATCTTCCACATCTTCCTCCTCATTCTCAACAGGCTCGATGTCTGAGTCCCCTTCAGTATCATAACCCTCTGTCCGCTCATCCTCTGCCTCAGGGTTTCCTTCGGGCCCAACAACTTCCACCTCTCTGGGACCAAGGACCTTCACTTCCTCAGCAGTAGATTCTACACAGACCCCATCTAGACTGGGCTCACAGTCTATCCCACCACCTTCTCCAGCTGCCCCTACCCACTCTATTTCTGAATCTGCTAGGCAGTCTTGGCCCTCTTCGGATGACTCTTGATCCCTTGTGGTAGACATGACACCAATAAGTACCTTTACAGAGCTTTGATTACGCTGGGATGATGATAACGACCGCCAGAATGGCAACCACGACAACCACGACAGTACAGATTGTCGTTATGGAGCTGTTCGGTCACTAAAGAGAGGAAGGGAGGCCTTAGGAAAGGGAAGGGGGCTGAGGAGACAGCAAATAAAGGGACAAGAGTCTATCGTGGTACCTGAGGCGGCTCCATGGGAATCCCGAAAAGGTCAACCTCTAGTGATGAGGCAGGCTTTACGAGGGATCTACAAAGTGCTTCGTTACCGCATAGACTGCTGCGAGGCGATTAGATGAAAAGTGAAGATTGACATGCCCAGCAGCCAATGAGTGATCAAAGATCTTAGGCAGTTAAGACTACTTAGAAAAGCTTTCCGGTTCTTTGAAACGTTAGAAAGCAGAGCTTCCTTTAAGTCAATGTCTTTCCTACCCTTTTGATTGTATGGTTTACAGCTAAAATATAGTGGTCCATTATGGAGACATCATTAAGACAGGGAAGCTTCTTCTGTAAAGTTCAGAGAGTAAATATTTTAGGCGACGCAGTTCCTAGAACTAAAATCAAGGTTATTATCCTTTTACATAAAGCGAAAGAAAACAAGTTGGCATATTTTATTATTTAAACTAAAAATATGATAAGTAGATTCATTTTAAATGTAATATGGGAGCTCGGGAGATAGCGTAGCCGTTAAAGGCTAACAAGCAAAACGGCAAACGTTCTATTCCCAGCACCCACAAACGAGTGTTAGATCTTCAGCTTCCCTAGGGCCTGGAGAGATGGCTCAGTGGTTAAGAGTACTGGCTGCTCTTGCAGATGATCTGAATTTGAATTCCAGCACCCACACTGCGACATACAACCGCCTGTAAATCCAGTTCCAGGGGATAGGATGCCCTCTTCTGACCTCCATGGGCATTGCATGGCATGGATGCGCTTACAAACATGCAGGCACAACAGTCACACACATTTTTTTTTTAAGTAATATAGGCCTATTAATGGCATGCGTTGAACTCTTGGGAGAATAACACTTTGCCTAATTGGCAGTTCAACGTTAGTGTCCTCTGTCATCAATATTGATTGTAAATATTCATCTGTTGATTTGTCAAAGGGTTTTACATAATTTTTTCTTCATCTTTAATTTTTAATTTTCATTGTATACGTTGTTGTACATGGTAATGTGTTACATACCATTCAGCATAGTCCCCTCATACTTCCCTACACTTCCTTTCCTCTTCCACCCCTCCTGTTAGTCCTCTTTATTCCTGTAGACTGTTTCACTTCTACTTTAATGTCATATATACAATTTTATGTACCTATATAAATTTGAAGAGCCACAAGTGAGAGAAGATATATATTTGTCTTTCTGAGACCCACTCAATTCACTTAATATGATTATCTCCAGCTGCATCTATTTTCCTGCAAATGACATAACTTTGTTCTTCTTTATCGCTGAAAAAAATTTTCCATTGTATATATACCACATTTTCTTTAATCATTCTTCTGTTGTGGGCCACCTAGGTTGGTTCCACAACCTAGCTATTGTGAATAGTGCTGAAATAAACATCGATGTGCAAGTATCTCTGTGACATGTTGACTTGGAGTACTTTGGGTACATACCCAGGAGTGGTACAGCTTGGTCATATACTAGATCTATATTTATTCTTTATCGAAACCTTAATACTGATTTCCGTGGTGAGTGGACTGGTTTACATTCCCACCAACATTCCTTTTTTTTACATCCTTTTGTTTGAATTTATTGTTATCCTTCCTTCCTTCTTTCCTTCCATTTGTCCCTTCTTCCTCTTATTTTCTTCTTTATGACTTCTTTCCTTCCTTCCTTCCTTCTTTCCTTCCTTCCTTCCTTCTTTCCTTCCTTCCTTCCTTCTTTCCTTCCTTCCTTCCTTCTTTCCTTCCTTCCTTCCTTCTTTCCTTCCTTCCTTCCTTCTTTCCTTCCTTCCTTCCTTCTTTCCTTCCTTCCTTCCTTCTTTCCTTCCTTCCTTCCTTCTTTCCTTCCTTCCTTCCTTCTTTCCTTCCTTCCTTCCTTCTTTCCTTCCTTCCTTCCTTCTTTCCTTCCTTCCTTCCTTCTTTCCTTCCTTCCTTCCTTCTTTCCTTCCTTCCTTCCTTCCTTCCTTTCTCCTTCCTTACTTCCTTCCTTCTTTCCTTCCTTCCTTCCTTCTTTCCTTCCTTCTTCCTTCCTTCCTTTCTTTCTTTCTCCTTCCTTCCTTCTTTCTTTCCTTCCTTCCTTCCTTCTTTTCTTTCTTCCTTCCTTCCTTCCTTCCTTCCTTCCTTCCTTTCTTTCTTTCTTTCTTTCTTTCTTTCTTTCTTTCTTTCTTTCTTTCTTTCTTTCTTTCTTTCTCTTTTTGACAGGTTATCCCTGTAGCCCCAGCTGGCCTGGAACTTGCCATGTAGACCAGGCTGGCCTCAATCTCACAAAAATCCACCTGCTCCTGCCTCCCAAGTGCTGGGCTTAAATGCATGCACCACCATGCCCGACATTACTTTTTTTTAATATTAATTTTTTTATTTTATTTTTTGCATTATGAGTGCTTTGCCTGCATTTGACTGTACCGGTGTCATGCAATATCCTCAGAAGCAGAAAAAGGTGTTCGATTCCCTGGCACTAGAGTTATGTATGATTGTTAGTCACCATGTAGGTACTGGGAACCGAATCCAGGTCCTCTGCTAGAGCAGCCAGTGCTCTTAACTGCTGAACCATGTCTCTAGTGTCATTACTTATTTTCTTAATGACTGCCATTCTGACTGGAGTGAGATGGATTCTCCGAGTGGTTTTAATTTGCATTTCCCTGAAGGATAAGGATATTGAGCACTTTAAAAAAACTATTTTATTATTTTTATTTTATGTGAATGAGTGTATTGCCTGCATGTGTGTAAGTGCACCCAAGTCATGGATTGCCCACGGGGTCAGAAGACGGCATCGGATTCCCCTGGAACTGGAGTTATGGATGGTTGTTAGCTACCATGTGGTTGCTGGGAATCGAACCTGGGTCCTCTGCAAGAGCAGTCAGTTCTCTTAACTGCTGAGCCATCTCTCCAGCCCCGATATTGAGCACTTTTAAAAATATTTACTGGACATATGTATTTCTTATTTTGAGTGCTCTGTTCAGTTCCTCAGCTCATTGTTTTGATTGGGAGCTTTGTTTATTTGTTGATTGGGGGTTCTTATTAGTCCTTTATATACCCTGGATATTAATCCTCTATCAGATTATAGCAAGCAAAGATTTTCCACCATTCTGTGGGTTCTCTCTCCCCTCAAATAATAGTTTTCTTTGCTATGCTGAAGATTTTGTTTTAATAGTATTTTTAAAATTTATTTGTATTGAATTTTTGTGTATTTTATACAGAACATCTCAAACAGTCTTAATCATCTTTATACCCCTGTCCCCACCAACACCCTCCCATACCCCCCCCCCACTGGAGCCTATATACTCTATCATCCTTGTTAAGGCCCACTGTATCAAGTCAGTGTCCCCAGACGTTCCCCAGTGCAATCCCATCCATTGAGGTCTAGTCAGCCTATCTAGAGTCCCTTGTTTAGGAAGATCAGCTCTTCTTCACCTAGCAGCAATCAGTTGCCAATATTTCTTCAGATAAGATTGGGGTTTTCTGTTCATTTTCCCAGTTCTATGCTGGGTTGTTGTCTGAGTTTGCATGGGACTTGCATATGCTGACACTGTTGCCATAGAATCAGATGAGCAGGTTCCCAGGAGCTTGTAGGATTCTGTTTCCATATGGTCATGCGCCTCTTCCCTGGGTCTTACAATCTTTCTGCCCTCTCTTCCATGATGGTCCCTGAGCCTTGGGTGGATGAAGTTTAATATAGAAATCATGTCCAAGGACCGGCATTCAGCAGACTCTTGATCTCTATGCTTTGACTATTTGTGACCTTTTGTGTTCCTGGCCCTCTGCTGCATGAGGGAACTTCATTAATGAGAACTGAAAGATTCATTAGTATCCTCTTCTTTACCCCTGTTCTATGTTCCATGAGCCTTAGGTGTAGAGGTTGCATTGTAGATGTGTCACGTAGGCCTGGACAATTCATAAACAATGTCCGTGTGTGGCCAGTTGTGGTACTTGGTAATAATCTCCAACTGGTGCAAAGTGAACTTCTTTAATGAGTGGTGACTGGGATATTTGTCTGTAAATATAAGGATACATATTTTGCACATAGTAAGAAATCGCATCAGTTTAGGGATGTGACAGTCTTGGGGCTCTCTCTAAGATCTATGACCACTCCAGCCACGTGTATTTGGTTATGTTTACAGTACCACACTTGAGTTTCCTCCTACTGAGTGGGCTTTTAGTCCAATTAAGTAGCTGTTGATTGCCACCATGATAAAAGTGCCACTACTGTACCAATGATGTATGCTGTGCTGGCCACTGATGTGGTTATTTGATCTTGAAGCTGGTGTTGGACTATCAATTGATGTTTTACCTTGGTGCCTTCATAGGGCTCTTCAAAACTATGAGAGTTAGCCTTCAGGGGAAGTGGTTTCAGGTCAGTTGCAGCTCTACTGCTGCAAATCCTGTGCCTGAAATATGTTCTGTCTTCAGCAGTAGGGTCTTACCTTCAAGTTCTGGGAGGCCATCAAGGGCTGTGGCAATAGCCTAAATAATTTTGGAACTCTCTTGGAACATCCTGGCCAACAACTCAAAGGAAGGTTTCTCCTGTCTGGCAGTGTTTCTTGTTATATAGCCTTTAGCTATACACATGGACTCATGTAGAAATAGTGTATGTGTAGTTTGTCAATAGGTTGTTGAACTAATGTAATTCCCTCTTCTTTTAAAACTATCAAGGCATTATTTATCTCTCTTCCCTCACTGTCTAACCATTCCACCATGGTTTCCCCATTTAAGGTGCCCCCGATTTCCTCATTTCCCCCTTGATAATACCACTCTCCTATGGTCCCACCTCTCTTGAGCGCCTTCTTTATCCCCAAGGTTCCTTGTATAAGCCCCCCTTCCCCC